CCACTGGATTCATATCTCCAGAATCTCGGAGGATGGTTATGGGTGAGCAGCAACAGGCAGGACACTGGGAAGGCCAAGAGGCTTGGGGCTGGAGCACCAGGGATTTGCCAGTGGGTCCTGGCCCAGTCACTGTCAGCCTTTCTGTGCCTCAGATAAGCAACTGATTAGGGACGTACTGAGTGCCTGCCAGGTATGCTGCCAGAAAGGGCAAATTTGATCAATATTACTCGGTGTAACCCAATGGCTCAGGGGCACAAAAATGCATACGATCAGGTCCCTGCTTCCTTCTCCGACAGGACAACCAACCACAATGGTTTCCTAGGACTATGTCAATGTATCCCACTAAATGTTCTAAGTTCTGGGAAACCGCTCAGTCCTGGACACACCAGGGCAGCGGCCACCTATGAGAGGTTTTGACGGGCAGAGGAAACTACATGCACAGTTATCACGAACACTAGAGGTAGCATGTAAAGCCTGATCTAATACAGTAGACGCCACCAGACATGGGCAACCATAAAGTGCCAACCACGTCAGCGCCTACAGCAAAAGGAAAACCCAACAATAATGATCCTTCTTTTTTTTTTTTTTTAAAGATTTTATTTATTTATTTGACAGAGAGAGATCACAAATAGGCAGAGAGACAGGCGGAAGCAGGCTCCTTGCTGAGCAGAGAGCCCGATGCAGGGCTCAATCCCAGGACCCTTGGATCAAGACCTGAGCCGAAGGCAGAGGCCTTAACCCACTGAGCCACCCAGGCACCCCAATAATGATCCCTCTTGATTTAAAAATATGGTAGTTTGTGGGGCGCCTGACTGGCTTAGTTGGTAGAGCATATGACTCTTAATCTAAGGGTTATGAGTTCAAGCCCCACGTTGGGCATGGAGTTTACTTTTTAAAAAATGTGAGGGTGCTTGGGTGGCTCAGTCAGTTAAGGGTCTGTCTTTCGGCTCAGGTCATGATCTCAGGGTCCTGGGATCAAACCCTGTGTCAGGTTCCCTGCTCAGCAGGGAGTCTGCTTCTCCCTCTCCCTTTGCCTTTCCCCCTTGCTTGTGAACGTGCTCGCTCTCATATAAATAAAATCTTTTTAAAAAGCTTTAAAAAAGGGTGCCTGGGTGGCTCAAATGTTTGGGCATCTGCCTTCAGCTCAGGTCATGATCACCAGGTCCTGGGATCGAGTCCCGAATCAGGCTCCCTGCTCATGGGGAGCCTGCTTCCCCCTCTGCCTCTCTCTCTCTGTGTCTCTCATGAATGAATAAATAAAATCTTAAAAAAAAAAAAAGCTTTAAAAAATGTGATACTTTGTACATCACAGATTTTTTCATTAACTTAGATTTTTTAAATATTGCATTAAAAATTACATAAAAATACATAAAATAAATATTGTATCAAAATATATTCCATCTTGGGGCACCTGAGTGGCTCAGTGGGTTAAAGCATCTGCCTTCAGCTCAGGTCATGATCCCAGGGTCCCAGGATCAAGCCCCGCATCGGGTTCTCTGCTCGGTGGGGACCATGCTTCCCCCTCTCTCTCTGCCTGCCTCTCTGCCTACTTGTGATCTCTGTCAAATAAATAAATAAATTAGTTATATAATTTTTAAAAAATATGTTTCATCTTGATTACTGACTTTTGGGGCACTCCTTAAATTTTGCACCCGAGGGAAATGCCTCTTTTGCCTTACTCTCTGCCAACCCTGCAAGGTCAGCCCTACATGTTAGCCCCATGCCTCCAATATAGTCTTTGAGACCTGGGACAAATCGCTTGGCTTCTCCATCTGAATATCTTCCTCTACACTAAGGAGGATGAATTACACAGCCCCTAGGGGCCCTTCCATCTCCAGGTTCTGTGCCTTCATGATGAGGTGTTGGGAAATGGAGAGGAGCAGAGGACAGATAATGCTGGGAACAGTCAAGGAACGGAAAGAGAAGTAGCATTTCTGCTTGCCTACGATCAGAGAAAGAGAACCAGTAGGACATTTTTACATATTATCATAGATATGTGATGCATGTATCATATAGCATATGTGTATATATATGACATAATCACATATCATATCTACCCGCTATATATATGATATATGATCTACATATATGTGATTTATCTCAGGGAATTGGCTTATATGATTGTGGGTCTGGCATGTTTGAAATTTTTGGCACAGCCTGGAGGTCCAGACACTTTGGGCAAGAGTCAACACTGCAATCTATAGGTGAAATTTTGGGACACCTGGGTGACTCAGTGGGTTGAGTGTCTGCCTTTGGCTCAGGTCATGACCCCGGGGTCCTGGGATCAAGCCCCACGTCGGGCTCGCTGCTCAGCAGGAAGCCGGCTTCTCCCCTCCCACTCCTTCTGCTTGTGTTCCCTCTCTCACTCTCTCTCTCTGTCAATTAAATAAATAAAATCTTAAAAAACAAACAAATGAAACAAAAACATAGGTGAAATTTCTTCTTCTTCAAAGATACCTAGTTTTGCTTTAAAGCCTTTCCCCTGGATTGGATGAGGCCCCATCAGATACTCTCCTTTCGTCGACGTTAAACTGCGTCTACAAAATACCTCAGAGCAAAGCCTGGATTACTCTTTAAAAGAATACCTGGATATTACAGCTGAGCTATGTTGACTCATAAAATTAATCATCACGAGAGGAGGAAATTGCTCAGAGATGTGAAGTCGATTGTCCAAGATCGTCCAGCTGATCAGAGTCAAAGTTGGGACTGAAAGTGTGCTATACATGGACCCCAAGGTCCACATTGTCCCAGGAGTCTTGCTGTGTCTGGGCCTCCGGAGAATTTCCTGAGGCATCACGTCAGATTCCTAATCCCTGCATGACCCTGTGACTTCTCTGTCATAGCTATTTTTGTGTGTCTCCTTCTGGACTGGGGGTTCTTTGGGGAAAGGTCCCTGCATAAATATCTTTTTATGATCCACAGAACTGGTGTCAAGCTTTCAGTGAATATTTGCAGAATTAGAGAATCGCTAATAATTCCCAATGTGTTGTTTCCTATATAGGAGCACTAAACTAAGCTTTAACTGTAAGATGTTAACTATAATTTCCAAGATTTTTCTAAAAAATTTAGTTGAGAGAGAAAGAGAGCATGAGCAGAGGGAGAGGGAGAAACAGGCTCCTCATTGAGCCGGGACCTCCACAAGGGGCTCAATCCCAGGACCTGACCTGAGCCAAAGGCAAACGCCCAACTGACTGAGCCACCTAGGTGCCCCTAGATTTTAGCTATAACTTCTAACTTCTCCTTCTCCTTCACCTCTGTCTGCACCTCCTTGTCCTCCTCCTTCTAGTTTGTTAACTTTTGCTTTAATTGAATTTCAATTTCCCCACCAAAACAAAATCAAAGGAAAGGACCCTTGTGGCCATGGCAATATATTCTAGAACCCTGCTGGGCATTCTAACTTAATGTCTTGACAACCCTGTGGGGTGGGTTCTATTATGATTCTTAGATGCATGATAGGAAAACAGAGTCTCTGAAAAGTTAAGGACCTGTCTAGGGCACCTGGGTGGCTCAGTGGGTTAAAGCCTCTGTCTTCAGGTCATGATCCCAGGGTCCTGGGATCGAGCCCTGAATCGGGCTCTCTGTTCAGCAGGAAGACTTCTTCCCTTCCTCTCTCTCTGCCCGCCTCTCTGCCTACTTGTGATCTCTGTCAAATAAATAAAATCTTAAAAAAAAAAAAAAAAAGTTAAGGACCTGTCTAGAGTCACAGAGTTTGTGACTGGACTCTAACCTCTAACCTACCCCCGACCAACTGCTGGGCCACACTGCCCAGGTCAAACTGTTCCCGGCAGCCACAGTAGAGCTCGACCTCATCAAGCTGAGGAACTGAGAAGCACACGTGTTAATAATGGCAGCACCACAGGACGCCTGGGTGGCTCAGTCGGTTAAGCGTCTGCCTTCAGCTCAGGTCATGGTCCCAGGGTTTCTGGATCGAGCCCCACATTAGGCTCCTTGCTCAGCTGGGTCTCCTCCTCCTTCTGCCTGCTCTGCCTGCCATTCCCCCTGGTTGTGCTTTCTCTGACAGATAAATAAATGCAATCTTAAATAATAATAATAATAATGGCAGCACCAGGACCAGGGCTCTGGGCTCCTGGCTTCTACGGGCACATTCTCCTGGTTGTCTCTCAAAGCAAGGCCTCACTGGGGCCCTTGCAGGCTGTGCCTGGGCCTCCCCGGGCTATTTACTCGGCTAGGTGTGGGCTCTGCCTGGCTCCCAGTCTGTTGTTTGCCCAGTAAACATTACCTGGGCCCCACCAATCTACTCCCCAACAAAGGAATGGCAACCGACACTGAAAGGACCGTTCTTTTGCTGGTTTCAGACACCTTGTTGATTTCAGTTTTCAGTTTCTGTCTAATAAAATGCAAATCACTGAAAGTGGGGGTCGCCTCAGAAGCCTCACGGCCTCCAAGCAGTGAGGCAGGCCTGGGTCCTTTTCCCGCCAGTGCAACCTCTAGGAATCAGGCCATATATGAAGTTGGCAGGGATTTAGGGTCAAATCCCAGTTCTCCTACCCGTGAGTGGTGTAACCTTGGGCCTCACCTCTCAAGCTTCCTCCTCTGAGAAACGGAGCCAGGGCTTACCGTGCAGGAATGAGAGAGAGAAGGGATGCCAGTGCCTGGCACAGAGCCCCATACTCATGGGCTGTCAGTCCTACTATCGGCTTAGTCCGCACAGCCTTGCACTTGTTTCCTTGACAATAAAAGAAGCTTTAGCGTAAGGACAAAAACAAGGCTTGCTGTCCGTGGCTACTCTGGTTTCCTACCACCTGGCTTCTTCCTGGAAAAAGGTTCCAAGAACTTTTAGAGGTAGAAAGCGAACAAACAAGGGAGATTTTAATCAGTAAAAACAGATTCTGTCTTTCTCAGGGAAGCGTCTGCCTACAGCTCCAAGCAAATCCACTCAAACCGTAATATTACCTCCGCGATCGATTTGCGACAGGAGGTTCTTGTTCTGGAACCCGGATACGCAAACAAGGGCGCTTTCAGGAAGTGAGGGGGGAGGGAGGGCGCAGGGCGTCCTCCGGAGGGCGGATTTCATCAGCTGCCCCCTCTCCCCGGGGAGCCCGCGGGACCTGTCAAGCCGGTGGCCCAGGCCAGAAGGCAAGCTGAACGTTTCAAAGTCCATGGGGCCTCTCTCTTCTGACCTTTTCATTTAAGTGGGCCACATTTAAGAAATGCCAAGGAGGAAACCGTGGTGATTTGTGGTTGCCAAGCCAAGTGGGGCGCTGAGAAAAAAGCGGATGAAATGGAAAAGGTCAGCTACCTCCGCTGTGCAAAGCGAGGAGGCTGGCTGGGTCCAGGCAGCACAGTCTCAGGATCCTGAGCTCCTGGGCCAACTCCTGATCCCAAGTGTTAACCTCTCTCTGGGACTCAGAGACAGAGTGACTAAAGTCACCCTCAAGTCCCTTCTGGCTACTTTAGAGAAAGAGGCAGAACAGGACCCGGGAGAGGGGGAGTGACTGCAGAATTTAAAGCCAAACAAGGGTAGGCTGAGTGTGGGGGAGGCAAGAAAAGGCTCCCCCACATTCTCTCTCTCATATTCCTGCCTCTAGTTTTTTGGAGTTTTGTTTTGTCTTTATTTTTTTGTTTAGATTTTTATTTTAATTGACAGAGAGATAGAGAACACAAGTAGGCAGAGCAGCAGACGGAGGGAGAGGGAGAAGCAGGCTCTCCACTGAGCAGGGAGCCTGATGCTGGGCTCGAACCCAGGACCCTGGGATCATGACCTGAACCGAAGTCAGCTACTTAACCAACTGAGCCACCCAGGCTCAGTTGAAAACCCTTAGTTTTGTTTTAAGGTTTTCAAATACATATATTTTAACACCATGGTGGTAAGATGCCTTCACATCCACTGCAGAAGTAGAATCAGAAATTAGGGAAGGGGAAGGGAGAAAGAAGGAAGGAAGGAAAGAAAGAAAAAAAGAAAGAGGAAGGAAGAGAGGGAGGCAGGAAGAAGGGGAGAGAGAGGAAGGAAGGGAGAGAGATAGGAAGGAAGGAAGGAAGGAAGGAAAGAAAAGAAGAAAGGAAGAGAAAGAAGTAGTGTATAAAGTATTTCCTTCCAGTAAAGATGGCCCTCAATCAAAAAAAGAAAAAAGAAATTCAGGGAAGGAGAGGAAATTCTGACTAACAATTTTGTTTTTGATCCTTTTGGCAAGGGTTGTAGCTGAAGTCAGAGCTCAGAGACCTGGAACTGTGGACCACGAGTAAGAGCTAGCTGGGAGGCTGGAGGGCACTAGGGGAAGGATTACAATGACCCTATGACCTGAGCAGATGGCAGGAGAGAAGAGTCCTGCCTCCAGTTTGAAAGAAAAGTTGTAGTTTTTTTTTTTTTTTAAGATATTTAAATTTGAAAAGTTGTAGTTTAAATAAGAAATATTAAGGACATTTTCAAGAGTGCTGAGAATAAGGGGATGGGAGGGACAAGGGATGTCCTGGGAGAGTTAAAATGAGTACACAGAAATTCAGAAGGAACTCCTCATACACTTAGATTTGAGCATATTAGCAGATGTTAAAGGTTGAGTATCTATTTTGTGTTAGTTTCAGATCTTTTTTAGCACCAGATGAACTATTACCGCTTTTCTCTCTCAGGGGCCAGGTGGCATCTGTCTTCTCTAGCAGGGAGAAGAGCCCAAGGTAAAAGAAAAATTAAAATCTTGGGCAAACTCCTATTCGTCCTTCAAAGCCCATGCAAATATCTCCTTTATGAAGACTTTCCTTATGGCCCTTGCTCCTCGGCGCCACCGTAGGGCTGACTGCAGTTATAATGTGGAATTACTTATCTCTTTGCTCCTCCCAGGTTCCGCTCCATTGAGAGCAACATAAAGGTAGCCCAGAGCCCCTGGGTTTTCTGGCAATGGATCTGATCATAATGGTGGAAATAGCAGTATATTGCGTGTGGATACCCAGCTTCTGGAAACCAAGTAAAAATCATTGAATACAAATGGTTGAACACAGGTGTAGGGTGAAGATTTCCAGGAGAACCCCAAGTTGATACAAAGGCAAATTGTCACTTTCTTCTTGCTGGAAACTGGGATGGGGCGGGGACACTTGGTTGATCAAGACGAAAGAGTCCAGGGATGCCTGGGTGGCTCAGTTGGTTGAGCCGCTCCCTTTGGTTTGATTTTAAATAAAATCTTAAAAAAAAAAAAAAAAAGCCAAGGGAATCCTTTTAAGAAAACTTTGTGGTCAATTTTTCCCCCAAAAAATGCAAGTAAAACTTAGAATCAGACAATCCACTTCCTGTAAGCCTGAGCAATTCTGATTTTTCAGGACACTTCAATTGAAAAATGTGATTCCCCATCCAGAGCTATACCCAGGACAATCTTCTTTACTCCTTTATCTCTTCCAGAAGGTAAGAAAAATTAGACTCACAGGGGCGCCTGGGTGGCTCAGTGGGTTAAAGCCTCTGCCTTCGGCTCAGGTCATGATCCCAGAGTCCTGGGATCGAGCCCCACATCGGGCTCTCTGCTCTGCAGGGAGTCTGCTTCCTCCTCTCTCTCTCTCTCTCTCTGCCTGCCTCTCTGCCTACTTGTGATCTCTGTCTGTCAAATAAATAAATAAAATCTTAAAAAAAAAAAATTAGACTCACAGACACTTTGAGCTGTAAAGTCCCCTGGAAGGTGAATCTAAAAGACCCCTCAGGGAGCCTGGGTGGCTCAGTGGGTTGGGCATCTACCTTTGGATCAGGTCATAATCTCCGGGTCCTGGGATCGAGCCCACTGTTGGGCTCCCTTCTCAGTGAAGATTCTGCTTCTCCCTCTTCCCTGCTCTTCCTCATGCTCTCTCTCAAATAAAGGAAAAAAAAAAACTTTTTAAAAGACTTTATATATTTATTTAATAGAGACAGAGTACAAACAGGAGGAGTGGCAGGCAGAAGGAGAGGGAGAAGCTGGTTCCCCACAGAGCAGGGAGCCCAACTTGTGGCTCCATACCAGGGCACTGGGATTATGACCTGAACCAAAGGTAGATGCTTAATCAACCAAGCCACTCAGGCACCCCAATAAAAATCCTAAAAAGAACAAAAATAAAAACAAAAACAACCTTCCTTTTCCTCACCTGTTCTGTGCAGAACAGCCCCCACAAGCCACCAACCCCCAGTTATGGCGTAAGCCAAACTCAACCCCAATCTCACCATGGGTCACAGGTGTGTGTGCTCAGCAAATGTTTGCAGCCCTCTGCTGGGAATGTTATCCCAGGTCACGTTAACAGGGCAGATCACCAGCAGCCTGTCCAGGTCTGGACCACCCAGGGGTCAAGTGGGCATTTTGTTCTCCGTGTGGGGGAGGGAGCAACTGGGGAAAACTCACCTGGTGTTCCTTGCTGTGCCATTTTTCCTCTTTGTGGACTCTGTCCCAGCTTATGACCAGTGACCAAATTTTATACTTGGACATTTATTTTAAAGACTTGGACTCTCAGTTGTTCTGCTTAGCCTTCTGGGACCTGTCAAACTTCTTGGCTATCAAATAGCAAAAGATGGAGGAAGGTTGAGAAGAATGGTAGACGAGTCAGAATATGGGAATGCCAAGACACATTAGGGGAGGTGGCCCTTGGCAGCTGTAACACTTCACACACTCAGTTCATGCTTTCCCTGTGTCATGCACTGTGTTCAAGACATTAACTTGTTCAACACTTGATTCTCATTTTACTGACAAGGAAACTGAGGGTCAGAGGGTTCGTATGTGTTAGAACGAGTATGTGTTAGAGCTGAAAACCTACTCTAAGTCCATCCATTTCACAAGCCAAGGCCCCCATTCCCCCCTTTCTGTCCCCCAGGCTGTCATGACCATCCTCACAGGGTCTAGAAATGGAAGATGGTTGGCCTCTGTCCCGATGCTCTCTGAAGCAAACACAATTCTAGGTCTTCCTCCTCTCTTAAAGTTTTTCTTTTCTCATCTCCCCTTTATTCACCAAACCAGAGTTTCATCTATATTTTACCCAACTGGCTCTTAGAACCACATAAATCTTGGCTGTTTTAATGAAAAAAAAAAAAAAAAAGTTTATAAGAGAACAGAAATGGTAGAGTTTGTAGTCTTTTCCCACCTGATTATTAAATGTATAAAGTCAGCTATAAATAAAAAAGAGGGATTGAAGGCTGAATCCAAAGACAACTTAAAGAACTTAAGTTTGGAGATAAAGTACTTACTGATCCTGGGCACCTGAGATCTCAGGACTCTGAGATCAAGACCTGAGCTGAGACCAAGTGTCAGATACTTAACCAACTGAGCCACGCAGGCCCCCCTCTTTTCTTTTTTGGCATTGAGAACCCCTAGGCCATTCTCAGGAAATCCAGTCTCCTATGAGCCAAGTGAAGCAAAATCTCACAGCGTCGCCTCACAGATGAGGGCACCTCACCAAAGGAGGAGGGGTTCCGTCACTATTACTTTGGAGTCAAAACCTCAGGACATGTATGTGTCTGGGAAGGTTGAACTTGAGTCCAACTTCAGCTCCTCACATAAAGGTCATTTGCTGAAATTAGTCGTGAAACGTTTCGCAAAAATCGATACACCACACAGAAGCTAAGAAATTTAAAACAAGGCCGGATCCTGAAACAGGAAACGGACATTAAGGGAAGAAAACGTTGAAATCCAAATAAAGTCCAGAGTTTAGTTAATGGCAGGATGTCAGTGTTGGTTTCTTAGTTTTGACAAATGTGTTATTTGGTCATGGAGGCTGAGAACATTAGGGGAACTGGCACCAGGGGTGTAAGGGGGTATACGGTAATTCTCTATGTTGGCTTTGCATCTTTTCTGTAAATCTACAATTATGCCAAAACAAAAAGTTTATCTTTTTTTTTTTTAAAGATTTATTTATTTATTTGGCAGAGAGAGATCACAAGTAGGCAGAGAGGCAGGCAGAGAGAGAGAGGGGGAAGCAGGCTCCCCGCTGAGCCAAGAGCCCGATGTGGGGCTCGATCCAAGGACCCCGTTATCATGACCTGAGCTGAAGGCAGGCACTAACTGACAGAGCCACCCAGGTGCCCCCAAAAAGTTTAAAATTTTTTGAAACTAGTGATTTGAAATTTATTCTCCTAGTACTAATGAAGGGGGCCTGCTGCACTTCAACTGCACTTAAAACTCCTTTCAAGTAAGATAAAAGTAAGATAAAACTTGCTTCTCTTGCCGCCTTTGAACCTTGGTGTCAATAAAGGTACGGACAATGGAGTGTTTGCACTTTTCTTTAAAGGGACAAAACCAAATGCAGGGCCATTTACTGCTCTGGATCAATGCCAAGTGAAAAAGAGAGGCATGGGATATCTTTGCATTTTCCAAATAAATCTTTTCCTTTTGTTGTTGTGTCCTTTAGCCCCTGTTGAATTTACTGGGCAAATGAACTGTAGCGTTTTACAGAAGCCAAAGGAGTATTGAATTTCTTAGAACTTTAATACACACAAATGAAAGTCAGGAAGTGTCGCAACTCTTCTCCAGAAAGGGGTGGGCAGCCACAGGATTGAAGGAAACATTCGTCAACATAACCAGGAGGATTTCCTGTCCACATGCTCAGTGTCTCAACATTACTTAAACAGTTCGGAAACGTCCCACTTTAAAAACATATTCATAAAATTAAAAGCACTAGGATCACTAGTCCTAGAAAACCAAAGGACTTCATTTCTACAGGGTAGGGAAGCCAGCCCTGTGCATACATACAGGATTGGTTTTGTAGTTGTAACAGATGGACCTTAATTGTGTAAAATGACCAGGGGAGAGGAAACTGGAATTGGGGGAGGGGTGTACATAGCTCTTTGATTTCACTAGGGAAACAAAAATATTATATAGAATTTGGATCTTCACTCTTTCCCGTATTGTTGAGTCTTTTTTTCCTTGTGAGAATATAAAAAGTTGCCTTAGAATGTTTGCTTTCCTTTGCAGTGTAGCTGGTGTTAGAACAAGAGTCATTAGTACTCTCTTTTTGCTAGAATCTGCCTCTTGACTACAGCGTGAGAGTCTATAAAATAGGATGCCAAGGAAAGCAAGCGGACACATGAGTCTTTTTAACCATGAATGTGAAAATCATGGCATCAGAAAGCCAGCATTCCTGAATTCTATTCTCATTCTTCTCCTGAACCACTTTAAAATCTATTTAGTCAATAAACAGGGGATTATAAAGATGAGCCCAATGTAGTCCTTGCCTTCAAGGAGCTTATGGTCATTTAATACGGAGATCCAGGCAGGTACATTTCAACTGCCAAGTGTCACAGGTGTTTTGCTGGGAGGAATGCCTGCATGGGAACAACCACGTGCAGAGTGGGGTTGATGTTTCGCACGAGTTTAGAGCAGTGGTTCTCAATGGCTGGGAGTAGATCTTGGCTCTCATCAGGCATTGTTATTGTCTGGAGACAATTTTGGTTGTCATAACTGGTGGGGAGGGGGCAGACTGCTGGCATCTAGTGGATAGAGGCTTGAGACGCTGCTTGAGACAATGCACAGGAAAGCCCCACCCCCAACCCCACAGCAAAAAAAGCTATTCAGCCCCAAATGTCAATAATGCCAAGGTTGAGAAGCTATGGTTTAAACATAAAGAGAAACATGCATTTGATTAGCACAGGGCGGGTGGGGGGGGGGGGAGCACATTCCAGGAAAAATTGTAGGACTGGAATGTGGGACGGACAGATAAATTGGGAAATTAATCTACAGCCTTCAGCTGATTATTTTGTCCTTTTGTACCTCAATTTTCCCGACCACCAAATTGAGATGCTACAATGGTAAATGACTCATCTCTTTTGCTGGTATCAGGAGAAAGTGCCATGGATAAAAATTATGTCCCTGGGACCCACCTACTTCCAGCTGCCCTGCTCAAGCAATCTTGTTCCTCAGTTAGGCTACACGTTCACAAGAAAAACAAGGACAGGGCGCCTGGGTGGCTCAGTTAGTTAAGCGTCTGCCTCCAGCTCAGGTCATGATCCCAGGGTCCTGGGGTCAAGTCCTACAACGGGCTCCCTGCTCAGTGGGGAGCCTGTTTCTCCCTCTACCCTTCCCTCTCTATTCTTGGTCTCTCTCTCTTCCTCACTCTCTTTCTCAAATAAATAAAATCTTTAAAAGAAAGAAAAACAAGGACAGTGTTTGGGAAATGTCACTTGGGCAATACGGTGGATAAAGCACCTGTATTAAGTGAGGACTGTGTTGTGTGGTGTGTAACAAGAAC